TCCTCCGATCTCTATCAGCAAAATGAGGTTTGGGATTTGATGGGGTCATGTTAGAATCCAATTCCCTTAATTCCCATTTTAACACAGCGTTCTATCTAGTTGAAAGGTCTTCTGCTCTCTCGACGTTTCTTTCTTCAACACGGGATGAATCAAAAAAGGAAGTGTGAGAGTCTTGGGTTTTAAACATCAGTCTCACCTCTGGCAGTGATGGATAATGTTGGCCTCTCTCTTAGCCGTTGGGGATTCTTAACTACAGCATATGAGTTGGAAGTTACGGGTTTGAATGTCTTGATCTAAAATGACTTTACAAAACATCAAGTGTTGATTACTTGTGCAGATTTCATGCATATTTTCAGCACTGTCTCATCTTGTAAACACACGTTATAGCAGCAATATTCAACTATTAATTGGATGCTTACAGCCCTGGGATTCACCTTTCTATCAGAACAATACTATCTTCTATTTTGTCACTGTCTCCAATGTTTTTTGGAGCATTTTTTGTTGGCTTCATTCTTGATTTTTTTGGAAACTATTTTCCCCCTTTAGGGGTTTGGAAAAGGGCTTGAATTTCTCTCTTCTTAGTGTCTTTACTGCCAAAAATAGAATTATATCTATGATGCTTGGACATTCAGGAGTGGAACTAAGTTTTGTGATTTCCTTCTCCTAAGCCATAAAGCATAAATGATTTTGAAATCCTTTATTATGGAAACAGAGTTTCATAATCCAAAACATCTGGCTTTGATAGTCATATCATAAATGATACTGAGATAATGCTAGGACCGTGACGGTTGAATAGGAATTTGGCCCTAGAACTGACATCAGCATGAGAGTCTGCAGATACGAAACACAGTGAGATGGTCAGTTTGCATCTTTTCTATTTTACATCTTCGCAGGACTTTGCATGGAAGAACTTTAAAGTAAATAGGGATTTCTCTTGTTTCGCATTGGTAAAGATGGACAGATGGTGAAACAGGGCAAATTACAGGAAGTTCACATAACTTAACCCCAGAGAGTTTGGAAGGTGCATAGACTGAAGGTTGAACCCCACATCAGGGGTCCTCATCTCAGCTCTGACTTTGGGCCACTAATTTGATGAAACTGGAGGAAGGGAGGTCTAATTACCAATCACAGGGCCCTCAGATCTTCACTAAGGGAAAAAATATTCCTTTTGGCTGAAGCTGTTGTGAGTAAATGAATAAGCGAAGCCCGTACTCCCGTGGAATCAGTCTGTTCTTTCATTTACCTAAACTCAGAGTCAAACCAGCGGATCTGACCAGCACCTCCTGGTGAGATTTATCATTATTACTTTTAATGTGAAATGTTTACATTTGATTTAATTAATCTGTAAATAAAACATAAAAAGTGAAATTTAATTAAAAAGTACTGATTTTTTAAAATTGGATTTGGAAGGGGTCTACATTTTAAAAAAAGGTTTAGATTAAAGCAAAATGCTTACTTTTCAGTTGAACGTCCCTAAATTGAAAGGGACTCAATAAAATTCACATCCTGAGTCCCTCAGAATAAACGGGAGAATTTTTACTGTAAGCAGCTCACACGTTTTTAGTTCAGTGAACAAAGAGTGGCCTTACTTGACAACTGGAAAGTCTTCCTCTACCAGTGTTTCCAGAAAGAAGGACTTCAGAAACCAAAAACTCTGAAGTTTTAACAGCTTCCCTCAACTGAGAACTGGCCGATGGTCAACAGCCCTGTAAAGTGGGTCAACCCAGTCAGTTATACTGGGGCCAATTATGTCAATTACCTCGGGAGATTCAGCGAGTAGAGTTGGATCTTAAAAGGTGCTTCAATGAGAGTTGGTTTTCTTCCCTGAGATTTTGGCAAATAATTTTCCACGCAAAGATAATTGTTTTCATGTTCTAAATAACAAAGCTTCACGACTCAGCTGCTCATTTTTCTGTGTCTTCGAGCAGGAAATCTCGCCTGTGCGCCCTGCGCTCTCAGCCCCGTCAGTGCAGGAGCGGTGGCCTTCCTCTCTGCACGTCACCTTTCTCGAGTGTCTCAGCTTTTACACCCTTACCCCTTGCTCTGCTGACTACAGACACACACGTGTGGGCTTCTAAATGGCAATAGGAAATTCTTAAAAAAATAATTTTTTTTTTAATGGAGGTACTGGGGATTGAACCTAGGACCTCTGCACGGTAAGCATGCACCCTACCGCTGAGCTATACTCTCTCCCCGCAACAGGGAGTTCTTGCACTTTTAAGTCCTGGCAAGAAGGGTTCCCCAATCCCAGTGCGCTCAGAGGCCGCCTTTACGGACAGGTGCTTAAAAGCCATGCAGCCCACTTTCTAGATACTCTATTTTTATTTCTGTGTCAAACCTCAACCACCTTGTCTTTGTTCAATAAGTTACCTTATTGAATTGTTTATATGACATGACATAGATACACCTGGAAGAAATGTATTAGACATGCCTTATGAATATTCTTGTGCTTACTGTCAGAATATTGGTGAAGACACAGGTGCTAAGTTAAAGGGAAACTTCTTTATAAAGACCTACCACCGGAGACATTTCACTCGGATTTCAGATGCTCAACGTTATGATTCCCTGTGCCGTAGTGGCCCCTGGAAAGCTCAGAGTCAAATATTCACGCCACCTCAAGCAACTGTATGTGACTTTACATTGTCTGCATACCTTAATTTACTTTTTTTTTTTTTTTGAGTTTCCTTCAGTTCTTTGAACATTTAGCTACTTTAAAGGTTTTGGGACACTTTTATCAAAGTACACAAGGCAGGGCCATTTTTTTTTTTAGTTCAGGAAGATTTTCTTAAATTAAAGATTTATTCTCTTTCATTACTTTGTTCATTGCTAATGAACTCCTAATATGTACATTGGATTTTATTTTTGCCCTCAAAAAATTACACTTTTAGTTTAACCATATTTGTTATTTCAATCTTACAACTATCTTCAGGGCATTTTGTATTGTATTTATTCAAGTTTGCATGGTTTTTCTTTATTTTGAGTTCTTTGAGTCCCATCACCTTTTTCAAGTATTTTTCTTCTCCACTTTATTTCTAAGCTTTTGTAATTCTGATCTGTGTTATTCTTTAATAATGTCTACAATTATTCATTTTGGTTTTTGAAGTGTTAGGTAGCAGTTTTTATTGGCTCTGTGAGTGTGCTCCTCTGGTATGCTTTCGTTGTTTAAAACATACAAGGATATTCCATCCTTCCTTCCTTTGTGATAATAATGTTGTATAGAAATTGACTGTAATTCCTTTCGGCTGCTCATTTTAAGTGAAGTTAATTTTCCGGCACTTCTAAGAGGCAGAGGTGGACCACGACGTCTTTTTTAGCTTCACAGCTCTGGAGGCTCTTGTTTGGATGAAATGATTAAAACATGGCTTGAGACTGTGTTTCTGAGCTCAGCTCCGTCTCCTCTGCTCGCTTTCCTCACGTGTATCTGCACTTCTCTTTCCTTTTGCCCCACGTATCATTGTCCTGCTCGACTTAGATTCTGCTCTCTTCCATTTCTCCTTAGCGAGAGGCATGCTCTAGAAGTGAGCTCAGGACTGCAAGTTTTGAGCATCCTAGAACCAAGCCCATTTCAGCACCTCCTGACCTCCTGCGGGTCCCCTTGCTCTCACCTGTGAATCAGAATCTTCAGGACCCCCGACAGTTTTGCTGCTGTGTTTAGGGAGTTACTTACTGTGGGTGATTTTGAATTCTGCTGTTCTCTCGGCACTCAGATACCCCATTTGCCTTTTTCCACATGAATGTAGATATCAAATGGGTCTTGTCACTGTCAGTGGTTCAACCCCCACTTCTCGTATTTTGGAATTCTTATCAATCAGTTTTATTGTAGATTCTTATTCCTTTGATAGCGTGGTTTTACCCTGGACATCACTATACAAATAAATATGTGGTTTCCTTTGAGCTTTTTAGATCACACCTAGAAATAACTTTGTACTTTAAATCTTGATGTGAAGCACAGAATACTGCCTCTAAGCAGACGGGAGGTAACATAACAGGCTTTCTAGGGTTTTTCTCACGGTGATAAGGTCTCTTCTCTGAATCTGCTTGAACCTGATGAGCGGGTTTATCAAAATTTCATTGTATTTGAACTTTATCTCTGATTCAGTTCTAAAGAGCTTCAGAAGGGAGAAATGAGAGTTTAGGGCCATTCCATTTCTGTGTTAAAAAATACTCTCCAAACAAGAAAAGTAATGTCTTCACCCTATGAAGTTGTTAGCCTCTTGAAATCACTGTTTTAAAATAACCAGGTCTTGATCCTCAATTAGAACTAAATTTAAAAAGTCCTTAACTGCAAAGGTATTTGTTGGTCTACTTTCAAGACAAGTCTAAGGCTATAAGCTAATCATATACATGAGAAAAGAAATCACAGTTGAATTATGGTCCATTTTTCATTATCAGAGGTGAGGCTTGGAATTTATAGTGAGTTCCCCAAAGTGAGTTATTTTATATGTGTATGGGGTTAAAAACGGTGAATATTTCTTTGCTGAACTGCTGATGTATAAAGCTGGGGCAGATCCTATTTTTAGGAAGTTGTTCTGTAATAAAATGTAAGACTTGGAGCCACTAAAAAAAACCCAATGCCCTAGTGCATTCAGTTTCATTTGCTCAGAGACAGAATAATTGATGGGATTTAAAAAAAATCACAGCCATGACTTTGACGTTCCTAGTTTCTTTGGTCCAATTACTAATTACTGTAAATCTCATTTAGATTTGCCTGTGTACTTCTTCATCAACAAGTAACAGCTTTTGATCTCTATCCTCTGTGGAATCGCATGGAGACGGAGAGAGAAGGAATGGGAAAGGGTGAAATAAAACAGAAAATGGAAAGTATAAAAAGATTTGCTTCTGTACATTTTGAATACTTGAATTCACAGAGAGATTTGGTTTTTTTGAGGATTAAAAAAACTGGCAACTCATGGTCCACAAATTGACTTTTTCATTTCATTCACTGTATTTTACATAATTTTTTTTCTCCTTAGTAATATAAAACAGTTTCTAGATTGGTCCCCAAATTCCCTAGTGGTATGTGTCCCCTGGTCCGCCATCTGTAGGAGCAGAGACAAGGGAGCCAGGAAGGAGTGAGGCACGAGTCTGCAGCACGAGACGGACAGCACAGTGAAAGGGCGGAAGCAAGAGTGCCAATGGGCTCTTCACCGCTGAGGAGTCCTGACCCCCTGTCTAGGGGTCACTGTCAGCTTTGAGCCTTTGGAAGTAGAAATTTCCATTACCTTTTCCACTTAGCATGCTACCGTCCATACACCAAGTAGGCACAATGAATAAATGAACTGAAATTCTGTCCAATCAGGATAAAACTCAAACACGGCTTCCTCTTTGAAGCCTGCCTCGACCCCTACTCAGAAGCAACCTCTGATCCTTCCCTTCCCTGGAGTCCTGACAGGAGACACGGCTCCTGGTGTTGCCCAATCCAGGGCCCACCCTAAGTCCTTTACGAGAGTGTAAGGTTGTGGGAAATTGTATCTCCCACCGTTGGCTGCTCTTATGTATTTGATCCCACTCCACATGCTCTTCTTACAATATGACTGACATTTTTCCCACTCAGAGATGAGGCTGTGGGAGGTTATGTCCCCTCCTCCTGACTTAGGGCAGTGTGGCTGAAGGGTGGCTTCTGGGCTAGGTCATAGAAAGGGGAGCGCTCCTTCCCCCCACCCCCCTGTGAGCTTACCCTCAAAACCCAGAGCTGGTTTTGTGGAAGCCTAGGACACTCCTAGATCTGTGACCAACGGCCAGCATCAACACCTGACCTGTGTGAATGAATCTTCTGGTGATTTCAATCACCAGCCTTTGAGTCTTCTTCCAAAAGAGGCCCCCGGCATTGAGGAGGAGAGATCCGCACATCTCCGCCATGTCCTGCCCGATTTCCTGATGCATAGATGCTTTGAGAGATAATAAATGACTATTGTTGTTTTAAGTCATTAAGTTTTTAGTGACCTCATTATGTACCTAGAAATAGACAACTAGCACACAGGTACCTGAGGGTCCATGTATACATGTGTTTTCCATCTTTCCTCCTCTTACTCCTAACTCCTAAACTCTGTAGCATTTAGAGCAAGGATTTGCACATAGAATAGAGATTGTGTTTCTTTAAATAGTTATGAGAATTAAATAAGATCACACAGATGAAACGACCTAGCTGAATGCTCAGTAATAGGAAGTAATCAGTAAACATTACCTGAACAAATTGCTGAATGAACCAACCTTCCTTCCTTTTTTAAAAATTTCTTTCTTCTTCTGAAATTTCCCAGCTTTACTGAGATATAAGAAATAGACACATAACATTGTATAAATTTAAGGTGTACAGTATATAAATTTAGGTGCTAAACATATATTGCAAAATGATTATCATTTATGGTTATGATATTTATGGCCTGTTTGTTAAATAGTTAAAGGTGCGGCTGCAGAAGGTAATCACGACTTGGGCAGCTCACCTGGTCTGAGGGATTGGTCCTGATGGTTGACGGTAGACTCCGTCCTCTCCAAAGTGCATTCATAACGAGCAGATCAGCCTCCCGAATCCAGGACATTCTTCTATTCTGTCAAGAACATGTCTGTGCTAGTGCCTTTCTCCTTCTCTCTTCTATCTTTCTTTCTTTTTGGCAGTAGACACCGTCTTCATGAATACTGCAAGTCCCTTTGTGCGTAACTGTAGACCTGGTGTCGGGAAACCCGGAGGCTTAGTTTCTCTGCACCCTTCTCAGTTGCCTTCCAAATGAGGGTGTTGAATAAAGTTAGTTTAAAAATTCTTGCCTGCTATATTATTCCATCTCTTTGGCATATGGAGCTGCATGATAAATCTTTTTGAGAAAAAGGAGACTACAGAAGAGTTACAAGGTAAATTCAAAAGAATCAATCTATATGTCCTTTAGGTTAATTAAAATATTGTTGTGACTTATAAAACTCCATCTGATTCAGAGCTAATCCTTAAAAAATTTTTATGAAATCTTGGTGAACTGAACTAGAGAGTAAAATATCACAAACTACACGATTCACAGATGAAGTAGAAGCCTAATGCATTGTTGCCATGTTCATCAAACCTCTGCATAATTTTTAGAAATAATAAAATGTGAAACTTGATGAGGTCACCACTGCAAATGCACTCCTAGATTTTGTGCATATAGTTCTGAGAAATTTGTAGTATGATACTACAGTTACATAATAGAAAATTTCCTCCCCAAAATAATGATTATGATTACGAATGCTAAGTGTTTGCATGGAGGAGATGTTTACTTGTTGATTGAATTACATTTATTGGAAAATAATTAGCAAAATAAATGACACTACAGTCATGAAATAACTGAGATGCCCAGCAGTTAAACTGCTAAGACGACCAGCTAGAAATCAGGCAATGAAGAAGGAAAAGTGGTAAGTTCTATTAGGGTGCAAACTTTTTCATGGGGAAATTGGGTGACAGCCATTTACAGTTTGGTTTTGCAAAAGCTTCAGGCTATGCAATGTACAAAGATGAAGCCAGAATTTCAAGTCTGGAAAGAGACATTCGATACCGAGAGACATCATACTGTTACTAGAGTGGCCTATTTATGCACGGATACTGGTTACTTCTACTGGATTGGGTCTAGGAGTTAACATTTCTGAGATTTTTATGCTTTAAATAAAGTGTGTGGCTATAGGAAAGTGATTCCTTTTGTTCTGGAACTTTTCTGACTGATTTCATTTTCTTTCACCTTCTTTCTCTCTCCTTCCCCCTCTCTCTCAGAAGAACGGTCTTGTTCAAGCTGTAGCATTGAGGTGAGATATGGAATACAGAGTGCTGACTAACTTGCAATAGTTTGAACTTTCTTTCTGCTGTTAAATATATTTTTTATCATATTCATCAAAATGAAGAAATATTATGCAAAATAACAGGCTTTTTTACTCTTGGTCTTGTGGACTAGATAATGATGACGTATTGGTGTTAATTTCATTATGTAGATGGTGGTGCTGTGATTATGTAGATTAATGTCCTTGTGTTTTAAGAATACCCATAAAAATATTTAGAGTATCATATTTGTATTCTCAATTAGTTCAGGAAAAATTTATGTATCTGTGTGTACGTATGAGAGACAGACAGACAGACAGAGACAAAGAAATGAGAATGCAAACGTGTAACCTATTTACAATTGGGGAAACTGAGTAAAAGGTATACAGGAATCTTAATACTATTGTAAGTTTTTTTAAATAAGTTTGGTGTTTTTTTTTTTAAGTTAAGAAAGCAACAAAAATGTTTTCCACAATATTCTCCACAGCTTTCACTTTTTTTGGTGGAAAAAAAGCCAAGATAAAATCTTTAAGTTTGCCAATTATTTCTTCTTCCTACTCAATCTACTGTTGAGCCTCCCTAGTTAATTTTTCTTTTCTGTTCCACTCAAGAATTTCTATTTATTTTTTTAAAAACATTTTTGTCCCTTTATATATATTTTCTTTTTGGGGACACATTGTTCTTGTCTCTTTTAGTTCTTTTCTTTTTCTTTTTTCTTTTTTTTAACATTTTTTTATTGATTTATAATCATTTTACAATGTTGTGTCAGATTCCAGTGTAGAGCACAATTTTTCAGTTACACATGAACATCCATATATTCGTTGTCACTTTTTTTTTCACTGTGAGCTACCACAAGATCTTGTGTATATTTCCCTGTGCTATATGGTATAATCTTGTTTATTTATTTTTTTTTGTTCTTTAAACATGATTTCCTTTAGTTCAATCTAGGTAATGACTGAACAAAGATTTCCCTAAATACCTGGAATCAGTAAGAATCTCATTCTTTACTGAGCTATACTATGTGTGTGTTAGGGAAACCCCTCGACATTCTGCCAGTCAGTTTATAACTCTGCCTTAGCCTTCACTTCCTCCTTGCCCAGAGGCTCAGGGTCATCCATAGGTGAGAGCTTAGGGCTTTCTCAGTTCTTTCCCCAGCATCCACACACCCCTAGTCATGAGCATGATCTCTTGATTTCCAGGAATATATCAGTTTCAGATTTCCAGGAATATGTCAGAGCTTATCAACACCCCTATGGACTTTGCACAAACCTTCCTGCGCTTTTTTGCTCTATTTAGGCTCTCAATGGATTGGGTGAAGCCCAACCACATTGGTGAGGATGATCTTTACTCAGTCTTCCAATCCAAATGCTGTTCTCTTCCAGAAACACCCTCATAGACATACCCAGAAATAATGTTTTACCAACTGTCTGAGCATCCTTTAGCTAAGCCAAGTTGACACATAAAATTAACCCATTACAGAGTAACAAAATGTTGTTTTAATGGTACTAACTAGTTTTAAAATTATTCTCCACACATATCAAGATGATTACTATACCTCCCGCCCCCCAAAACTGGAAAATACCAAGTGTTGGCAAGAACGTGGAGAAACTGGAATACTTGTGTGCTGTTGGTGGGAATGTAAAATGGTGCAGCTGCTGTGGAAAACAGTATGGTGATTCCTCAAATGATTAAAAACAGAATCACCCTATGATCCAGCAATCCCACTTCTGGGTATATACCAAAAGAATTAAAAGAACATTCTTCAAGAGATATCTTCATAGCGTCACTATTCACAGTAGCCAAAAGGCGAAAGCAACACAAGTCTCCACGGATGGATGAATGGATGTACGAAATGTGGCAGACACATAAGATGGAGTATTTATTATTCAGCCTTAAAAGTAAAGGATATTCTGATATGTTACAACATGGATGAACCCCGAGGACATTACACGAGGTGAAATTAGCCAGTCACAAAAAGACAAATACTATATGACTGCACTTCTATGAGGTAACTGGATTATTCAAATGCACAGAGACAAAAAGTAGATGATGGCTGCCAAGGGCTGTGGGTGGGTGGCTGGGAAGACTGGGAAGTTGTTACTTACTGGATACAGAGTTTCAGTTTTACAAGATTGGAGCCTGGCTGCACAACAATGCGAATATACTTAATATTGAACTGTACACTTAAAAATGGTTAAAATGGTAAATTTTATGTTGAGTATATTTCACAACAATAAAAATAAAGCACTCTCATTTGTATGAGAGAGTGTGTGTGTGTGTGTGTGTGTGTGTGTGTGTGTGTGCTGTAACTATTTTATGAGATTTGCAGGAAGGGAGAAATGACACATTTTATCCATGTTCAGAAAGGGTCACTAATTTGCCGCAATTCAGACAGTGCTGAGTGTGCTGGGATGGAGGCAGAGGACCAGGGATGGACATTTATAACGCCCCCTATCGCACTGGAGAGAGTATATTGTCCACATATGTTAGATATGTTAGTTTCTTTTAGTTTGGAACTGGTAAATAATTTGCCCAAGATCAAAGACCTAGGAACAAGCGAAAGCTTGAGACTGAGGTCCGCTTGACTCCGAGGCACAGACAATTCACGCTGTTCCAGATTCAATATTGCCTGGATTAGGGTATGACTGATATTAGGGTCCAAACCCTGACCCCATAGCTTCATAGGTGGGCCATACACCACAATGCAATCTAGGTTCCAAGACACCCATTTCCCCAGGGTTCAGGCTACGCTTGAATTTTCCCTGAGACAGCAGTCTTGCTCTGTTCCTTCCCTTTCCTTATGGTGACACTTCCCACCGCTTCCCACCCCTTCCCGGTGCTTCCTGAAGAGCACGCCCTCAGTAAATCCAATGCACCTGAATTTTGTCCTTGGTTCTGCTTCTAGAAAACTCAACCCAAGACACTGCTAGCAGCAGAAGTATGCTGGGAGTCAGTAAGAGTGGGACACTGGAGTTGCATTAGCCTCTGGCTGGCTGTGAGGACCTGTTCCTGGTGGTAGGGGAGACACTGATGCTCCCCAGAAGGCTGCAGTGGTATCGTTGCTAAGATGTTGCTGCGACAAATGTGGTGAATGGCAGCAAGATACAGCGGAAGGAGAGGTGCCTCTGTGCTATCTCTGTGGAATCTGGAAAGTATGAGGGGAAGCAGACATACAGAGACAGCGGAGCCAGGTAGCTGTTGCTGGGTCCTGGTGCATGGAAGGAAAAACATGGCAGGCTCAGGTTGGTTCATCTCAATTTTTAAAGTCAAGTGTGGAGATCAGCAGGTCTCCTTAGGTAGAGAGAGAAACTGGCCAGATGATTTCTAAGTTCATCTGATAATTCTGTATTTCTACTAATTACTGTGTTTTATAATTTACCCTGCAGATACATTTGCATTAAGCTATTGTGGACTGAATGTGTGTGCCCCCCCAAATTCATGCGTTGAAGCCCTAACCCCCAGTGCAATGGTATTTGGAGGTAGGACTTTGTGGAGGTAATTATGTTTTGATGAGGTCATGAAGGTGGGACTCACATGATGAGATTAGTGTCCTTCTAAGAAGAGAAAGAGACCAGAGTGGTCACGGTCTCCCTCTCCCTCCTTCTCTCTCTCTTTCTTCTCTCTTCTCTCCCTCTCTCTCTCCCTGCCCTGGGAGGACACAGCGAGAAAGCAGCTATCTGAAAGCCGGGAGAGCTCCCACCAGGAACTGAACCCTGGTAGCCAGACCCTGATCTTGGACTACCCAGCTTCCAGAATTGTGAGAAAGTAACTGTCTGTGGTTTAAACCACCCAACCCATGAGCTAAGACATCTACCTGCCTCTTCTCTTTACTTCAGATGCCAAGGCAAATCTTCCTGCATTTTCCCACAGCCCACCCACTGGCTTAAAAAGGAGTTATCTGTCCCTTGGTCACACAAGGAAACTCAGTGATTCATCCCCACTCCTGAGAAGCAGGGTGCTGGAGTGAGGAGAACCCGGGATATACAGTCAGCGGAAGTGACCCCGCAGAATCACG